AACTTCTTGAATCATTCTTTTGATAAGGTACTGGGTACTCTCTTGAATATATCTTCATAAGCTACCTTGAACATCAGAGGATATTTTTATAGAGAGGTTTTTCCTTAGGGCATGTGCACAAAGAGAGTGACAGAGATAGTGAGAGGGAAAGTGAGAAACCAACCCCACGGGGAAATGGCCATGCACAATCCCTTCTCCATTCTCCTCCTGGGATCTTGGGCATGCACACACATGCACCTGGTATGAGTTCCAAGTAACTGAATTCAGGACTCAAACCACAGTCAGCCATGTGAGTCCAGCAACATAACCACTATGCCGTCTGCTGGTCCCTTGCTTTTGTTTTTTATACATCTTTATCAGGTAAGGTTGGCTTCACAGAATTATTTAGGGAATTTCTATCTTTTTCTCTGCCCCGAAACAGTAATTAAAAAAAAAAAAAATCCATCGTTCTTTTTTTTTTTAAAGAAAAAAATAATTATTTTCATTTTATTTACTATTACCATCACTTTTTAAATTTACTTCAGGGCACACATACTCACCAGAGAGAGAGAGAGAGAAGGAAAGAGAGAGAGAAAAAGAGAGAAGGAAAGCAAGAGAGCAAACTGCCAGGTCTGGTACTTGGACTGTAGTTGACCATGTGGGAATCCAGCACCTTAACCACCATGCCACCTGCTGGTCCTTCTTTCATTCTTTAAAGATCATAAAGGACTAAGGACCAGCAGTCGGAATAATGGCTATGTCACTGGACTCCCATGTAGTCAACCATGGTTCGAGTCCTGGCCCTGGGGGCTTAAACTCACGCCAGGCACATGTGTGCCCAAGATCCTAAGAGGAGAATGGAAAAGAAGGGATTGTTGCGTGGCCACCCCCCCCCAGGGGGTGATTTCTGGCCTTCTGTCTCTCTGCCTCTTTCTGTCTTTCTGGCGAGTACATGCGCCCTATAGCAAAAACCTCTCCAAAAAAAAAAAAAAAAGAAAAGGACCTAAAGGACTTCACTGTGTAACTGTCATGTCTCCATGCAATTTTTATAGCAGTTATTTAATCTCTAAATTTTCTTTATTGTAATTAGTGTCCTCTGTTTTCCACTTCTTGGGTCAATTTTGTTAGGAAGTCATTCATATCTACTAGGTTTTTAAGTATGTCGCTCTTGAGTTTGTTTTTAGTTTTTGCTATGTGCACTTACCAGAAAGAGATAGAGGAAAAGAGAAAGAGAAAATGAGAGACAAATCACCCTCTCTGGGGGGATGGGGTGGAGGGATGGCGATGATGCAATCCCTTCTCCTCTTTTTTTTTGGAGAGGTTTTCTCTATAGGGCACATGCGCTCGCCAGAGAGACAGACAGAGACATAGAGACAGAAAGCAAGAAATCACCCCCCAGGGGGGATGGTCACGCCGCAATCCCTTCTCCTCCACTCTCCTCTCAGGATCTTGGGCACGCACGCACATGCGCCCAGCATGAGTTCTAAGCCACCAGGTCTGGGATGCAAACCGTGGTAGACTATGTGGGAGTCCAGTGACATAGCCATTACGCTAACTGCTGGTTCCCATGCAATCCCTTCTCCGGTCTCCTCTTGGATTTTGGGCAAGCATACATATGTTCCTGGAGTGATTTTCAAGCTGCTGGGTCTGGAACTGAAATTGCCAACTGGAACCCAACACCTTAACCTCTACACCACCTCTTGGCCCTGTTACTTAAATTTTAGTTAGTAACTTTTAATATTTTCATTTTCTTCTCCATCAGTTATCCCTTTACTCATTCCCATTTTGTATAATTTTGGTATTTTTATGATAGTGGTGATAGATTTGGTTAAAGTGGGGACGGCTATAATGGATTTAGTGACGACAGCAGTTATGGAGAAGGCGGCCCTGGTTACTCTTGTGGACAGGGTTATGGAAACCAGGGCAGTGGCTATGGCAGGAGTGGCAGCCATGACAGCTGTAAGAAGGGAGGAGGCTGGGGCGGCTTTGGCAGTGGTGCTGGAAGCAATTTTGGAGGTGGTGGATGCAGCAATGATTTTGGCAATTAACAACAGTCTTCAAATTTTGGACCCATGAAGGGCGGAAATTTTGAAGGCAGAAGCTCTGGCCCCTATGTATGGCGGTGGAGGCCAATACTTTCCCAGACCACGAAATCAGGGTGGCTTTGGTGGTTCCAGCAGAAGCGGTAGCTATGGCAGTGGCAGGTTTAATTAACTGCCAGCAAACAAAGCTTAGCAGGAGAGAGCCAGAGGAGTGACAGAGAAGCTACAGGTTACAACACATTTGTGAGCTCCCCCATGCACAGTGGAGGCAGGGCCTAGCCACTACAAAATGTATTTTAACCAATACTCATGTGTATGGGCGAAAAACACAAGGCTGAATTTGTGACTAATTGTATAACTGGTTATTTTCGTTTCTGTTCTGCAGAAAAACGTAAACCATTCCAACGGAGACTTTTAATGTAGTTTTTTGGTTTTTTGCACCCATGCTGTTGATTGATTAATGTAATAGTCTGATCACGACGCTGAATAAAGTATGTGTCTTTTTGCCACGGGGCACATGTGCTCGCTGGAGAGAGAGACACAGAGACAGCGAGAGGTAAATGGAGAAATCATCCCTCTCAGGGGGTGTGGCCAAGCCACAATCCCTTCTCCATTCTCCTCCTGGGATCTTAAGCACATAGGGCAGCCGCCCCGCGTGAGTTTCAGGTCCGGGGTTCCAACCAGGGTTGCCCACGGGGGAATGCCGCGATACAAACCATTACGCCGTCTGCCAGCCCCCGGCCGCGGTACTGAACTTTCCGAGTCCACTGTCCCTTGCTCCCGGCTCCTAACAGTGAGAGCCGAGCACTCACACCCTTCCAACGCAGGGTGACGTCTGAGGGGACGTCTGCGGGAGACAGGCCGGGCAGGGCAGGCCCGCCACCTCCACCGCCCGAAGGTCTGACCGAGCCCGGCGTCTCCAAGCCCGCACCCCTGCAGAGCGGGGCGGGAGCGGAGAGCGCGTCGCTGAGGGCGCCAACTGCCGTCCGTGGAGGGCCTGGCAGTGGACGGAGGACCCGCCTCGCCCACAGCCGGCTAACGCCCTCACCCTGCGCCGACTGAGGGCGCCGGAAGCCCGGAAACCCCGGAGGTGCGCCCCGCCGCGCCACGTCTGCCCCGTCCACGCCGCCTCTGCGCACGCGCCACCGCCCGGGCCGCTGGCCATTTTCGCCCCGCCCCTCAGACCGGAAGGAGTCGCAGGCGCTTCCGGCGGCGTGCGTTTCTGTGGTTGCCTCGGTGATGTCCTGGGTTCAAGCAGCGCAGTCGGTCCGGGGCCCTGGCGACGAGGCGGACGTGTTTGACGGGGA